ATGTTAAATTTTTGTTTTTATCTACTACAGTTTACTACCTTTGGATGTACCTTTTAAAAAATGTGAAGGCAGGGTCGAAGTCTTTTAAGGCATTTGAAACATTTTGCCAAGTACCTTCTGTAGAGGTCGCATTGATTTTATTTCCCTCTTAGCAGTATCTGACTGGTCTCTTGACACCATTTTCACATGCAGTGACATTATATTTAATCTGTGTCAATTTGAATGGATAAAGTTGGTTATCTATTGTTTTGTGTTTTCTTCTTAAAATTAGGGAATTTTAATATGCTTGTAATAAAACTAAAGAATTCAAAAGTATATAGAAGAAAAGGTGAAAAGTGCCTTTTTCTTTTCCATCTGTGTACCCCCAATCATTGTCAGCAGTTTGGAGTGGGCTTTCAGGTTTTCTGTTTATATTATGTATATATATGTGTGCTCACATGGGCATGCATGTGACTTCTAGATTTTGTGTCGTGCTTAGAAAGACTATTAAAAATTATAAAATGTGCTGTTCAACTTTTTTTCAAGCACTTTCATGATTTTCTTTTTGAATATTTAATTCTTTAATTTACTTTTGGTATGTTGTCCTTAGGGAATTATAATTTTTTTGTGGCAGAGTAGCATTCCATTTTATATATGCATATGTACCACAATTTCTTTATTCAATTATCTGTTTATTGATGGGCATTTAAGTTGTTTCCATATCTTGGCTATTATTAACAGCGCTGCAGTGAACATAGGGATACATACATCTTTTCACATTCGTATTTCGGATTTTCTTGGGTGAATACCCAGGAGTGGAATTGCTGGGTCATAAGGTAGTTGTATTTTTAATTTTTTGAGGAGCCTCCATATTGTTTTCCATAGTGACTGCACCAGTTGTCAATCTCACCAACAGGGCATGAGGTTTCCCTGCTCTCCACATCCTTGCCAACACTTGTTTGTTGATTTATTGATCATGGCCATTCTGACAGGTATGAATGAGGTGATATCTCATTGTGGTTTTAATTTCTTTTTGCATTTCTCTTATGGTTAGTGATGTTGAGCATTTTTCATAAGTTGGCCATCTGTATGTCCTCTTTGGAGAAATTTCTATGTAGGTCCTCTACCCATTTTTTCAACTGGATTATTTGCTTTTTGGTGTTGCGCTATATGAGTTTTATAGATTTTGGATATTAACTCCTTATCAGATGTATCATTGGCAAATATGTTCTCCCATTCAGTAGGCTGTCTTTTCGTTTTGTTGATGGTTTCCTTTGCTGTGCAAAAACTTCTTGGTTTGATGTAGCCCCATTTATTTTTTATTTCCTTTGCCTGAGGAGATACACCAGTAAAAATATTACTAAGGGTAAAGTCTGAGAGTTTACTGCCTATGTTTTCTTCTAGGAGTTTTATGGTTTTGGGTCTTATATTTACGTCTTTAATCCGTTTTGAGTTTATTCTTGTGTATAGAGTAAGAAGATGGTCCAGTTTCATTTTTTCGCATGTATCTGTCCAATTTTCTCAGCACCATTTATTGAATAGACTGTTTTTACCTCAGTGTATAGTCTTGCTTCCTTTGTCATAAAGTGACCGTATACATGCATGGATTTATTTCTCGGCTCTCTATTCTGTTCCATTGATCTATGTGTCTGTTTTTATGCTAATACCATTCTGTTTTGATTACTATAGCCGTATACCCTGTTTACCCGAAAATAAGGCATAGCTGAAAAATAAGCCCTCACATGATTTTAGGTGCCAAAATATGGCACCTTGGTATACTGAATATTTTAAGCTGAAGGAGTTTGTGGAAAAGGCACCATTCTCCCTGAAACAGGTCATAAAACCCTCATATGAAGGGTGCGTGCCCTCCATATCCTGGAGGAATCATGCTAGGGCTTCTTCCCCAGCTAGGTCTTATTTTCGGGGAAACATGGTAGTATAGTTTGATACCAGGTAGCATGATATCTCCACCTTTGTTCTTTCTCAAGATTGCCATGGTTACTCAGGGTCTTTTATGGTGCCATATAACTTCAGGGTTATTTTTTCTAGTTCTGTGAAAAATGTCATTGGTATTTTGATAGGGATTACATTGAATCTATAGATTGCTTTGGGTAGTATGGACAATTTAACTATATTAATTTCTCCTTTCCACGAGCGTGGTATGTGCTTCCATTTATTTATATCTTTAATTTCTCTCTTCAATGTCTTATTATTTTCTGAGTACAGGTCTTTTACTTCCTTGGTTAAATTTATTCATAGGCATTTTATTTTTTTGATGCAATTGTAAATGGCACTGTTTCTTATCTGATAGTTTGTTATTGGTGTATAAGAATGCAACTGATTTCTCAATATTAATTTTGTATTCTGCTACTTTACTAAATTCATTTATCAGTTCTAATAGTTTTATTTTTGTGGAAAATTTGGGGTTCTCTTTTTCTTTTCTCATTACTGTGGCTAGGACTTCCAGTACTATATTGAATAAAAGTGGTGAAAGTGGACATTCTTGTCTTGTTCCTGATCTTAAAGGGATTGCTTTTAGCTTTTCCCTGTTGAGTAAGATGTTAGCTGTGGGCTTATCATATATGGCCTTTATTATGTTGAGATATGTTCCTTCTATTCCCACTTTGCTGAGAGTTCTTTTTATCATAAATTGATGCTGGATTTTTCACACACTTTTTCTACATCAATTGATATGATCATATGATTTTTATTTTTCATTTTGTTTATGTGGTATATCATGTTAATTGATTTGTGGATATTGAACCAATCTTGTATACCAGGAATAAATCTCACTTGATCGTGGTGTATGATCTTTTTAAAGTATTGCTAAATTTGGTTTGCTGATATTTTGTTCAGGACTTTTGCATCTATGTTCATTAGGGATATCAGCTTATAATTTCATTTTTTGTAATGTCTTTGGTTTTAGAATCAGGGTAATGGTGGGCTCATAGAAAGCGCTTGGGAACAACCCCTTCTTTTGAAATTTTTGGAATAGTTTGAGAAAAATAGGGGTTTTTTTTTTGTTCTTTTTTTAATGTTTGGTAAAATTTACCTGTAAAGCCATCTGTTCCAGGACTTATTTGTTGGGAGCTTGTTGATTACTGATTTGATTTTGTAGTAATTGATCGATTCTAATTTTTTGTTTCTTCTTGATTCTGCTTCGGAAGAGTGTATGCTTCTAGGAATTTATCCACGTCTTCCTGCCAGATTATCCAATTTGTTGGCGTATAATTGTTCATGGTACAGTAAAACCTTGGATTGCGAGTAACTTGGTTTGCGAGTGTTCTGCAAGACGAGCAAACATTTCTATTAGCGGCATTACTTTTGCACAACCTAATAATACATTTTAACTTGTTAAACGAGTGATGTCGTGCGATATGAGTAGTTTTATTGCGTGTGGCAGGGTCCCAGAAGTCACAGGATGTGGCCAGTTGGTTTTACATTGTTAATGCAGATTCAGCTCTTGCACTAATAAAGAGCAAAATGCCCTGAGAACACTGCTGCCAGCCACTGCTGGATTCGGGCCTGGAGATCCCTGAGAGCTGCCCAAGAAGGGCTGCAGTCTGAGCTGGAGTTGACTGCCTGCCACCGAAAATTTCCCAGGCCACTGCAGGCTGCTGCTGTACAAGCCTCCCACAGCTTGTAGGCCAGGGCTGGCTGCCCAGGAGGTGAGGGTGCCCCAGGCAATGCTATACCAGCTGAGTGGGTTCCAAGGAATTCACCAAGGGAGTGTGTGCACGTGTGGATTTTACCAGACGTGTGCAATCTCAGATTTGGTTCAATGGGGGCTCAATGGGGAAAAGATGGTGCCCTCCTGTAGGCTACATGTGTGGCCGCTTCTCACATGGATAACGGCCACTGTTTCTCTAGCCCTCGCCTTGAAGCTACACAACTCAGTCTTTCTCTGTATATTTCTGGAGCCTCTTGAGTCACCAGAGTGAGTGCCTCTGAGTGAGTGAGTCTAGGTGCAGGCCATTTAAGAGGATGTCTGGGTTCCAGCCACCTTCTGTCTCACCAGGATGGACAGAGAGAATCCTCGCTAATTTTCCCTGCCAGATGTTGTGGGGACTTGTTTTCCTGTCACAGGATCCCTGTACTTGGGAACCCAGTGTGGGGCTGGGACCCCTCACTCTTCAGGGCATACCTCTGCTGCTGAGGTATCCTTCCCAGTGCTCAACCACTACCTGGGGGTTTGGGGTCAGCCCGTATTGCATCTCTGCTCCTCCTACCAGTCTCGATGTGGCCTCTTTATATCCTTAGTTGTAGGGGTTCTGTTCAGCCAGTCTTTAGTTGTTTCTCACAGTTGATTGTTCTGTAATTTAGTTGTAATTTTATGCGGTCCTTGGAGGCGGTGGACATAGCATTTACCTATTTTGCCATCTTGCACCTTCTAGTCCAAGTGCTTTTTTTTTTTTTCTAGAGATTTTTACTTCTTATTCCTTAAGAAAAAAAAAACAGAACTAAAACAAACTCAACTATAGTATATTGTTATCCTTTAAACTGGGAAACTTGCTTGCTAATCATTTTCTGAAGTTTATTGTTTATGCTGAAAAAGTTCTTAATACCTAGAGATAAATGCTTAATAGTTTGCTTTTATGATACCATGAGGATAAAATTGTCTTTTCTTTTTAGTAATTATTTGCTTGGAGAATAGGTTCAAATCCCTCAAAAAATTCCTGAGTGTTTGAAGTCTAAAACATCTACTTGGTTTTAAAGGATTCTTTCTTTCTCTGGATTGAACCTAAGTTTCAGTTTGTGGATGAGAACAGGAAAATGCTACTGAAAAATGTTCTTACTAATGATGAAAAGAAGGGATAGAAAATAATTAGTCTGTAGTTTGTGCTTACTAAAACATTTGCAAATCTGTTATCTTGAAACTATATATGGTACATTTGAAATATTATTTCCTACTTTACTGAAACACATTGTAAAATGCTGTGTTTGTATTTTTCCCCTTAGGGAATAATATACAAGTAGGTAATATCTGTAATTAATGTAAGCATGTATTCTTGTTTTAATAGGTATCAAGCATGATGGAACCATGTGTGATACTTGCCGTCAGCAACCAATCATTGGCATACGATGGAAGTGTGCAGAGTGTACAAATTATGATTTGTGCACAGTTTGTTATCATGGAGATAAACATCATTTAAGGCATCGCTTCTATAGAATTACTACACCAGGAAGTGAGCGGTATGGGAAACAATTTTTTCTTCAGTTATAATTCCTTGTTAGTATTAAATTTTTTATACTATGGAACCTTAGAATTAGAATTAGGAAAGCTTCTGACAGCTGCTTTAGTCAGGAGGTAGCAAATAAAAGGCTAGATATGGACCAGTCCTGCCATATAGCAAGAAAAGAGCTCTGTGAAGATAGGGCTATATGTGTTTTTCCAAGATAGTCTGGGCTGTTCTTTCTCTCTTATAGAAACTTAGCACTGCTCAGTGTTTGGAAATGCAAGGGCAGCACAAGAAAGGCTGATTATTTTCTTCTTGCAATGCCTTCTATTCTATTAGTTGATACCACTAGGGCCCACTGATTGAATCAAGAGGCATTTATTAAGACTTTGGGATAGTATGCTTGTGCAAATTCAAGGACAAATAAGGCACAGTATTCCTTAGTAGTTTACAAGTTAAGGGATTATTTGATCAACAGTGATTATCATGTGATGTTTTGGACTCTACGCAGAGATATGTATTAAGTGTCTTAGTAGCAAGAGAGAGGAGTGTTAACTGTGAATGAGTGCAGAATTTCAGGCAATTTAGTCTTCTCATGTAGATACGGATATACATAGGAGTAAGAATCTAGCCAGTCATAGGGAGGCAGCAGGAGTAGTGTGGATTTTGGTGTCATAGTGTCTCAGTTCAAATTATGGTCCTCCCATTTATTAACTAAGCAATTTTGAACGAGTTATTTTTGTCTTTTGGTTACAATTTTTAAAGTTAGAGTATAATTAAGACATTTTAAAATCGAATCGGATAATGAGATAAATGTAGAAAAAAAAAAGAACCCTTCCTCTCCAAATCTTTTTGATTTTATGAATGAGAAGGATTGTAGAAGAGGAAGGACTAGGTGGCCTTGGAGAACCCAGCTGGTCCAGATAGTTGAGTTTTGAATCTTTATCAGGGTCCAGAATCTTCTGTAGGTATGCTATACATTGGAGACAGGCTAGTGTAGGTCAAATCCAGGCCACAGATATATTTTTCTTGGCATATAAAGTGCTCTTATTTTTGAGCAATTGCTAACCTTTTGAAATCAGGTGATTTCACACAAAAATCAAAGCTTATGAATTCTTAACACACACCCACACACGCTCCCTCCCATCCACGCACCTACTCCAGAAGACTCAAACACTGAACCTGCATTTGTTCATGGCAAGAGTTGGCTGAAGCACAGGAGCACCTGTACCCTTTAGACAAATCATGCTCTTGAGTTCAGCAAAGTCCCTACCACTCCCTGTTGTCTTCCTAAGCCGTAGGTCAAGTGCCACTTGCCTGCCATTTGTCATTTTTGTGGTGCTGTCTTTCTTAGGCCCTCATTATATTATTTGCCTCACAGTTGTAGGGATTTGAGGTTTCCATCTCTAAAGTAGTGAAGAATGTAATGATACCCTGAAGTGGTTAAACTGGGTTCATATGTGGATTCCATTACCATTTAACATTTGTGACCTTTGGTAAATTACTTAACTCATTAAGACTCAGTTTCCTTCTTTGTAAAATGGATAATATAAAAATACCCTCCTCTTAAGGAGTGTAACAGAGTTTACATTTCTGTAAGTACTTTTATGTATAAAGTTTCAGTAAACATTAGCTGTTTATATTATTCCAGCTACTACTGTCATTGTCATCACCACCTCTGGAATGTAGAAGGTATTCCTATAACATGCTATATTAACCAGAACAAAGAAACATTTTTATATTTTCAAAATAACCTTTTATATTATCTTGTTTTAAAAAATAAATTATTGTTACCTATTTTTATATACATTTGAAAATAAATAATTTTATTTTTAGGGTTCTGTTAGAGTCTCGTAGAAAATCTAAGAAGATTACAGCCAGAGGGATCTTTGCAGGTGCCAGAGTGGTACGAGGAGTAGACTGGCAGTGGGAAGATCAGGATGGAGGAAATGGACGTAGGGGAAAGGTAAAATTTTTTTCTTAGTTCATCATGTGATTCTAGAATATGGTATGTTCAGGAGATTTTTATTACTATAATTGAATTTCTTGGTCCATTTTTTCCTATGTCAATAACAATTTTAAAAATCTTCATTTCCCTTTTTTTTGAAGGAAAAAAGATTGTTTCTGCTTTGTTGTGTATATTGGCATTTCTTGAGAAGGTTGTTGGGTAGATTTTATCTTTCCACCTTTAGGCTTTATATTGCCATTTTGTGCCCAGAATGGCTTCCTGAACATCCTGTTTGGTCCAGTCCTTGCAAAGCAGTATCTCATCCTTTCAATTTTCTTGCTATTAAAATTTCATTTAAATTTACTTGTTTTATATTCCATTTCCTTAGGGACCTTAACTCTGTTACTCTTCTCAGGTAGTGTGTAGAGCTGTCTAGGGGTCAATTAAAGCAGTTACTCTGAAGGGAATTTTGTAGAACCTGTTTCACTGGAGTAGGAGAGCCAGAGATATTAGGCTAAGTGGGTTGTAATTTTATTCATTTTGGATTTTAAGTTGCTTTTGCTGATTATTCATTCATTGGTTCAGTCAACAAATACTGAATATGTATATTCTGTGTTATACTAGGTGCTAGATGTACTGAAATGAGTAACATTTCACATTTGAGACTTAAATGTCAATCGTTATCAGTTCCATGTTACTTTCCTGAAAAATTGTTTTTAGCAATGAGGAATGATGATTTTAAAGTCTGTATCATCTGAGGAACTCTTCACAGGAACCCGAAAGCCTCTTTTGTACAACTTGGTGCTATATAGATTCTTTTGAGTTAAGAATTTTAAACTTTTTTTCAAATAGATGTTTTCTAAATTCAGAGTATTTTATATTGATTTCATTTTAAGGTATGAGGTCTAACTTTAATGTTTGGAAGTCAGAGAGATATACTTTAGCCATAATATTTTAAGTATTTTGATTTTTATTAAGGAAGAAAACGTGATTTTAAAAAATTCAATAAATATTAATTTAGTACTTACTATATGCAGAGTTCTTTTCCAGGCATCAGGGATATAGCAATAAAGAAAAGAGACAAAGTTCCTATTCTCCTGAAATCTGTATTCAAATTAGGGGAGACAGACAAATATAAATCTGAATTCTGTGACTGTAGTGTTGCCTGTGGATCAGCAGCATTGGTGTCACCTGACATCTTGTTAGAAATGTAATAGGTCCCCTTTCCCCTAGACCTTCTAAATGAGGTTCTTCATTTTAACAAGATCCCTAAGTCATTTATATGCACATTAAAGTTTGAGAAGCACTGCTCTGAAAAGAAAAATAGGGTAGTGTGAATTTGGAAAAGGTACCACCTCTAGATGAATGGAGTGCTAATGAGGACATGGTTGGCAAAGCAATGGCAGTGAAAAGGAACTCCTTTGGGAGGCAGGGGGCGTAGGAATAGCCTTGCCGCAGCACATAACATCTTGGTAAGAAGAGCTTGGGCTGGATGCTAGCCTTTGCTCTTCTCCTTGGCGAGGCCCCTTGTGCAGTGAACAACTTCCACAACCACTTATAGCAGTCCTGTATCACACAGGGCAATGTTTAAAATGTAAAAAGTGTGGTCAAACAATACTGTGAATGTTTAAATAAAAAAATAATAAAGACACATTGCCATTAACCTCCCTCAAAATACTCCCCTCCCCCTGCTTTGAACATACTTGTCCCGTTGTTCTTGCCAGTTTCTGAAGCAGTTCTGGAAGTCCTCCTTTTTGAGTGTCTGCCTCCATGTCCCGAATCAATTAAAAACGTTTTCCTTTCATGGTCATTTTGACTTTGGGGAAGAGCCAGAAGTCGCAAGTGCCATATCTGGTGAATAAGGTGGATGAGGACATACCGTAATGTTTTTATTTGACAGAAATTGCCGTGCCAGAATTGATGTGTGACACGGAGCATTATCATGATGAAGGATGATTTATGGCACACTTTAAAACACACCTTCTCTCAAGCGTAGCTCACACCTAACTGACTGCACTGAACAAGTTGAAATTTGTCACATACCATTACCAAGACTTGACGCACCGTTTCCCATATTGAAGATCCCTTTCTTTCCATTGGATGGCACTCGGCAGCAACATTCACCGTGTTTTTTGATCACAATGGAAAGAAAGGCTCCATGTCACACATAGCTTCTGGTATGGCAATTTCTGTCAAATAAAAACATTACAGTGTGTCCTCATCCACCTTACTCATCGGATCTGGCACCATGAGACTTCTGGCTTTTCCTCAGAGTCAAAATGACCATGAAATGTACCATATTTTTCCGTGTATAATGCACTCCTGTGTATACTGTGCACCCAAGGTTTTGGCCCAAACTTGCAGTGAAAAAAATCTTTCGTTTTAATTTTTTAATTCCAATTTTTATTCATTTATATTTAGTTGCTTGTTTTTTGTATTATAAAAGTTTTAGCATTTATTTATTTATTTTTTTAAAAAGATTTTTATTGGGGAATTGGGGGAAGGGGAACAGACAAGTTGCTGTCGTTTTGTTCTTCAGTCTAGTTGTGGAGGA